TCTCTTCATCTCACGTCCTTCCGCCCCATGTGGGTCCACACGGGACTTGATTTCAGCCACATTAGCATCATCGTGTGCTTGGTGACTAAGTGCTCCCTCCGTGCCTGGCATCCCTTTCCTCCCTTCTGTTTTCTACACGTATCAGGCTCGCTACTTACCTTTCACACTGTAAATACACATGAGGGAGAAAAGTCTATAACCTCACAGCAATCTGAAATTGTTTTAGAAACTACGATTCTCACATGCGATGATCTAGGAAACACATTGCTAAGGATTATTTTCTCATGACACATATTTGAGTGTAATATATGACATACGTTTTCTTCATACTATGACCCAAATCAGTCTACTGGATTCACTGTGAAGTCCAGGTTTTTACAAAGAATCGTCACCCACTGTTTCAAAAACACTGAGACTCTTGCCGATTTTTAGATTATGGACTTCATCTCTTTCCAGCTTAAATTTATAAAGCGGTGCCTCCAGACTCGTCTGTTGCTAAGAAAATAGAGCAGGAATCCTGGTTTTACATTTACAATTGTACTAGCTACATTTGCCCCGATTACCGTTCGCAGCTAGAATTGAGGCAGACGCCAATGAGCCTGGGAGAGCTCGGCAGCCCCTTCTCTTTGTGAAGGTCGGGTGAATGCTGTCCTGATACTCCTCCTTTGAAAATGGGTTTCATGCGAGGACTGGTTACGTTTTTAACTTCCGAGGAAATAGAAGGACTTTTTTTTGGAGGGGGTGGGGCGCACCTGGGTGGCTCAGTAGGCTGACTGTCCGGCTCTGGGTTTCAGTCAGGTCTGGATCTCACGGTTCGTGAGTTCGAGCCGCACGTCGGGCTCCACGCTGACAGTGCAGGGCCTGCTTGGGATTCTCTCTGCTCCTCCCCTTCTCTGTCAAAAAACAAACCTGAAAAGAAAAGAAAAGAAAAGAAAAGAAAGGGCTTTGGTGTGCTTGGATAACTGTACAATGCAGGAAAGGGGGTTGTCCTAGTCCTCTTGTGAGTTTATGGATTTGGGGGAGAAACCGAGGGGTGAGCAAGAGCAGGAGGGGAGGCCGATTCGGAGCAGGGAAGATGAGGATGTGGGAGGGAAGACTTCCTGGCTCCGATCCTTTCACCGTCAGCCGGTACCCGGCTTCCTGCAAAGCAGCAATGACTGATACGTCTGTCCTGTCACCCTTCAGGACCCCACCTCAAACATCGGCATCCTCATCATTACAAGGCTTCCCCAGAAAGATACTAGACGGCTCCAAACGACGTCTAAGAAGTGAAGGAATGTGCCGGCGTGCTGAGCTGCCGGGCCGGCACGTGTGGTTCTACAGGCAGGCGCCCCACACAACTCCCTGCCCCCGTAACTCTGCGTCCGAGGAACCTCTGCTGATCTCGGGCACCTCTGGAAACTGGCAACACACAGCCAGTGGGGACGGACCCAGCTTCCTGCGGGGACGGAGGAAAGGAAGGTGAGGCCCGTGACACTGGACACCAAAATATCCACGTACGAATCCCCGTCGAATGACTGCAGAAGTGAGATCTCCCTGCATTTGGAGGAGCACATTCTCAACACAGTCCACACACGCACACGAAGCATAACGCTAAACCCACAACACGTTTTTAGATTCAACGATGGCTTTGATTTGCAGAGTCAACTGAGATGATGCAGTTTTTAGGCCCTATTTATTCCGACCTTTCCTAAGATGATTTATACCACATGTAGTTTTTAACTGACAAAGGTTAACCTCAAATACAGCAATTAAGTTAAATCTCCGCATGTCCCTAAGCTACGTTCACACGAAGGCGAATGAGCATTGCGTTTGTCAACTGCGGTTTTCAAAAGACATCCAAAACAGGAAAGATTCAGCCCATCACGCTGCTATCCAGAGTCTGCCTTGGAGAAATGAAACTTCTTTCCTGGGGATACTTTTTAACATTTCATCCTGCAAAATGAGACATTTTCCTGACATGTTTTCTTACTTCCCTTTTCCTTGTTTTCTTAATGCAGAAAAGAGCTGCTGATAGGCTTTGTTTTACCACTTCATGAACCTAAAAATTTACAAAACCTCTTGCTTAAAATGAAAGGATCCCAACTACTGGGTATCTTCCAGTCCTTACTAAGTTTTGCCTTTTCTTAATCAAAGTGAGCTACTTGTATGCTAGAATATTCCCTATTCTCGGTCATGTAGGAAATACGAGGCCATGATTGACAGAGGACGGCTATTTTTAGTCTTTCAAATCCATTCTATCGTACTGTTTGCCTCCAAACTACCCCTTTGTGGCATGGACTCGGGTCAAGACATATCAACCATATGTGATGTTGCAGTGCACCTTGGGGCAGCCTTACACCCAGAAGCGTTTAGTCGGATAAAGTTTGCTCTTGAGGGAATATCCACATTTATGGTTTGAAACGCACAGATATGTGTACTTGTTTGTGTGTGTGTATGTGTTTCAGGCACACACACATCACAGACCTTGAGCATGACTCACCGAAGAAATGGTTTTCACAGCTACCGAAGGTGGATAAAGACACAGTGCTTCTAGAGAAAAGGATTATATATTTTCCCCCACCGGTGTTTCTTCTATGAGGAAACAGCAATGTGTCAGAAGTTAAACATTTAAAGGGAAAGCCTTCCTCATCCCACTATGTACCTACGTAAACTGGGGAAGGTTTCGGTACCGTCTTCTTGGGTTTTGATGGTGGGACTGGGTACTTACCGTGGTGTGGTTTCCTGAGAGCGTGCGGACGCATTGACCGCTCCTGGAGGAGACAACTCTGGACTTCTTCACTTCTTGTGGCTTCTCCACAGTGTCAGGAAGCAAATGCACTACAAAATGCAGAGAGACTGTTTTTCCTGTCCTGTCGATGCACATCTTTAGGAAACACGGTCCATACGCATGGATATGCGGTGACAGATACTGAAAACTGGTTCCTGTGTGGTAACACTTTTAAAAGTCGACGACACAGGCAGTATTTTGCAGCTTAGCACAAGTGACGCTCCTGGGGAATCTCAGCAGGAAGCGCGTGTTGCTTCCTAAGTGTTTTCTGCAGCTCCCAACAGGGTCTGCGACACCCTTAGCACAACGTGGTGTGAGGTCACCTGGCTCCCAGAGTTTCGCATTTGGAACGCACAGCACGGCAGACAGCCCTCCTTTCAAACAGCCCCGAGCTTGACCCAACACCACAGTATCTTCCAGGAAGCTCTGACTCAGCAGCAGCTGAATTTCAAATTGTCAAATTTCCGCAAATGAAGATGTCTAACATTGGCTACAAGTTTGTTACTTTGTCACGAACAAACCCAATATTTGCGCCAGCAAATTTTTGTATGGTTGTATAGTTCAAAATGGAGGCGTGTATACATACATACAAAACATTAAATTATTATAGAAGTTTAATTTTATAAAGTTTAATTATGTTTCTTTTATCTGGGTAAGAGACGATGAGCAAATCTATGTTTAGTTTGCATGAACGTTCTGAAGCTTACAGCTCCCTTAGGAAATCGAAAGCAGCTCCTAGGAGCATCTAATTCTGCAGTAACATTCGTAACTTAAATATTATTCACATTTTCGGAAGAAAAACGCTATTGATTGGGTGATTAAGGAAACATGAGTTTCTTCTATGAATTTCAATCATATGCAAATCGGCCAAAATATACATTTTTTTTAATTTTAAAAATTTGAGTGCCCTAATTAAGGGATATAACCTATGGGTTGTTTTTTTTTTTTTTCTCTAAACACAGTCTACGTGGCTAAGTCTCGAATACATTTTACTGAAATTAAATGCATCTCTCTTCTATGAGGACACATATATTCAGTGACAGTATTCACTCTTCAAAATGCCCACCCTTGGGGCGCCTGGGTGGCGCAGTCGGTTAAGCGTCCGACTTCAGCCAGGTCACGATCTCGCGGTCCGTGAGTTCGAGCCCCGCGTCGGGCTCTGGGCTGACGGCTCAGAGCCTGGAGCCTGTTTCCGATTCTGTGTCTCCCTCTCTCTCTGCCCCTCCCCCGTTCATGCTCTGTCTCTCTCTGTCCCAAAAATAAATAAACGTTGAAAAAAAAAAAAATTCA